TCAATGCATTTGAGCATGCTGTAGGAGAATGTGCCCTCAGGGGCTTTCTTCTTAGCAAGTATAATTATGGTTATTTCTTTATCTGATCCTAAATTAATGATAGCAGAGATGACTTGCTGATCATCTGAGAGAGAGTGAAATGTATGAGTGTAGCGCAGAACCTGTGAGAAATAAAAGTGCGGCATCTAGACGTACCCATTTGTTTGCATCCTGTCCAAGTGCACAGATCGCTTCAGTACCATCAGCACCAGAGAAGCAGTCAGAGCCAGTCAGCCGTGAGGGAGACGAGGGATAAGCAGGACTGGCAGAGCAATCCTTCAGACCTTTAGAAAGGTGATACATCCAGCGATAACATCTACAGATTAGAGAATCATAGCCAAATGAGCTGTGTAAGGGTTATGCAAATCAGTAGGGCAGCAGTTTGCTGACAGCCTAAAGCCATGCAGGTTCTGTCATGTTTGGGCCTTTTCCTACATAAATATATCTTCTTTAAATGCTTGGACATTTGAGAGTTTCTCACAAACTCTACCAAAAGGTTGCAAATGCTAAAATCTGTATGTACTTTGATGTGTATGGGAATGAATGGCCTTACATTTGTTAAGTGCTGATGAAATTAAATGAAAATGCATATTTTGTCTGGTTCACTTTTATCGCTTGTTATTTCCCGAAGGTCTGTAGAAAAAAAAAAAAAAGGTGTTATGCCGTAAAATGTTTTTTAGTTGTCTCCCAATAAAACAATACGTGACACTCTGTTGCTTTCCAATTTGCTCTTAATAACTAAAGATGTTCTATAAATATGATGATTAGGAAACATGTTTTAGGGAAAACAGAGGAGCTTTGAAATGTTGAAAGCAGAAATGAAATGGCTCGCTCTCCGTCCCTTATTTTGTCTGCCATCGCAAATTGTTGTGTGGCACAAAATATACAAAGTGCTCTCATTCAAAAGTGCAGTTAAAGTTTAGACTGCTGAAAATTGCATTCAGATTACACAGCAGGTATGCCCATTGTTCATTGTGCTATTTTGAAACGTACTGTAAGTGCAGTGTAATCATTGTAGCCTACCGCCTGTTCTGCTTTTGATTCGGAGGAAAATTTGACTTGAAACTGCATGAGGTGAAAAAAAAAAAACACCCTTAGACACCTGAATGAATGAACAGTCTTTTTACATGTCAGATATAAGGCTTGTTGTTACATTTGAAGAACAACTTTACTGATTTTTATTGTCATTGTCTTTATTTGCGTTCTTCTTTTATAGGTCATGTCGAGACGAACTCACACTGAGAAGACAGCGGGGAAACGCGCTATACAGCATCACACCTAACGCACACAAACACTTTCAGTCAACTTCGAGCCTCATGTGAACCTCATTTGCATCTTTAAACTGTCAAAAGACAGTCGAACACTCAAAGGAAAGTCATGTGAACGCGGGGAGAGCAGCAACGTCTGGCAATCTTCAAACGATGAAGACATTTATGGAACTTTTCCGACCATTTAAAAGGTTTAACTAAATGAAATAGTAATTGAAACATTAATAATTCATCACCATTTCTCCATTTAGGCACATGCCACGGCAATTTGCTGGATGTAACATCTCTGTCTGAAACTCCTTGCAGGCAGCACTCTATGGTTTTATATCCCTTTTAAGGACATTGTTATACTTGTGTTTTGTAATTTAAATGATCTATCAAAGCTGCAATGAAATTTCTAAAGACGTTTATTCTGGGAAGATGGTGCAGATGCAGAACAAAAAAACAATATGCGTTGCTAATTCTTTCATCATAATCTCACAGAAGAATCCATTTAAATGAAGAGGACATGTCAAAATCCGTCCAACTATTGTAGAATTATTTCATTTCCTACCTGATTATATGAAAACATCAGAACTGAAGTGGCACAAAATAGTTCATATGTATATGTATGTGTCTGCTTAAATGTATGGAGTTGTCTGTGTTTTGACTGGGAGGGAAATGAATTAAAAAAAAAACTGCAGCACTTTTAGTTGAAGGTACTTGTCTGTGAAAACTTCCACTATCACGGCAGCAATCACTTTATCTCCTTGGATCTCCTCTGTCGTCTCTCCACGGGCTCGCAGATCAAACCTCCAGTAATGTTTGCTGACCCATACAGGACTCCACTGTGTCTCAATTCCAATCCTGGGAACTTTTCAAGAGAGTGCTTTTCACCACTTAGCCACATGTGGGAGAGCATACTATGCAGAAATTTAAATTTACCACTCAAACGGCGTCCAATTAGCACTTTATATTAGCAAGAAATCTTAAGAAATAATCAACTGAAGATGCTGGGTAATAAGATTTTTCCAAAGGAATTGGTGACACATTAATATTCATGTATCCAGAAAGTCATTGGTCGCCTTCTAAATCTGTACAGCGCCCCCTCTTCTCCAGCTCTCCCACTGCTCAGACCATCTGAATCCCTGTCGACGGGTCTGTTTTTAGCTTGTGCCGGGTGGAGGCCTGGCACGGTGTGAGGGGGGAGGCCGGACCAGTGGGGATGTCCTGGTGCAGTCTGTCCTACGCTGTACGCTGGACTCCTCGCCATCCCATATTAATCAGATTTGCCGCAGCAGCCATATGTCCAAGCAGCATGATAAACCCCGGCTGGTACCTGGCACCCACGGGACGCACTGTCAACACAGTGTGTGTGTGTGTGTGTGTGTTTGTGTGTCTGCACGGAAGTGTGCGTTTCACACGTCGTTCCTCCGGAGACATTCCTTCAAAGATGTGTTGAGACATCAAAAATGTTTGGCATAAATATCTTTGGTATCTTTTTGGGGTTTTACATTTTTCTTCGGGATGCTCTGAGTAGACAAAAAACAAAAGAGAACAACAGGGCATCAGAGGTAACCCTGATGGAGGAGGAAGTCATTTTTGGGCCAAGCGATCATTTGCCACAGAGTTTGGGAAATACATGGGGCTATGTACGTCACTGCAACAGGAGAACTGGCACTATGGAAGTGCATTAACAAAGGCTCATTCCTGTTTCCATCTGTCACCTTATGCCGAACAGTGCATTATATATTTCATATTCTCACATGATTCAGCTCCCAAGATGTCAGATTTTATTCACTGTTTCTATCACACTCCTTAACAGCATTGTGGAGACTCTACTGGAGTATTAGCGCCGCTTGATGATATGGAGAGCAGGTTGGAAATACAAAGAGTGACTGAATATCATTTCCTATCTGAAGCTTTCTATTAAATTCCACCCAAAAAAAAAAAAAAAATGCATTCCACAATCCATAATTCATAGCTGAACCTCGCAAGAGGCAACATCAACACTTGTCAAACATGATTAACTACGTCTGTATCTTACACAAATTTAATTCCTCTCTGTGTCTCTGCCTGCAAATCAGACAGCAATCACTGGCGAGCCGCTCACAAGATTTGTGGCTGAAGTTTTTCATGTGTTTGTCACAAGCACAAGGAAAAAAAAATAAAGTTTCTGGGATCCAAACTACTTTAAAGCCCTCACTGCAGTTCACTCTTTTGTTTGAACAGTCAGGGCAGATGTCGTTATTGCCATCTACTGTCAGCAAAGGACAAAAAAAAGAAAGAAAACACTGCAACTCATTCACAACTGTGTACATCAGGCAGAGTGTGGGGGTCAAAAGGTCAGCACCAGACAGTACTGATATTTGTGATTTTTGATTATTTATTTACCAGAAATATGCAAGACAAACATATTAAAATTAATCTTTACATAATGCATGATTTATACACAGTGCTGTGCAAAACTGTGGACAGTTACCACCAGCAAACAACATGTTAAATTCCTTCTGCAGCATGACATCAACCACATGGAGACTTAAACAACTATCTCCAGCAACAAGAAGAACATGGAGTCCTGCAACAGATGGCACTGCCCCCCCCCCTCCACCCTGTCCCAATCTGCCCCCCAGGGCACCAATACCAACAACATGGAGTCAGTCTGGGATTACACGAGGAGATAGAAGCAGCAGAGATAACCTAAATCCACAGAAGAACTGTGGCAACATCTCCAAGACGCTTAAAGAGCCGCATCGAGGGCATAATCTGCTGCAGCAAACGTCAGATATTTTGCAGTTTAGGTCACTTTGTATGAAGTTTATTGATGAATAAAAAAATATTTGTTGTGCAGGCGAAATTAGAAGATCAACTTAGGTCATGCATATTCAGATATTAAGCGCTCGTCTTTACATTAGAACACCAAACTGTACATTTCTCAAAAATAAAGGTTATGACATGCAAATATCAAATCTTAAATTCCTCTCAATGGAAACGTAGATGATATTACAGTTGCTCAATCATGCACGGTAGACTCTTCTTCTTCTCCTCACTAACCCGCCCACCCACCCGACACGTGCCCCCTTCTTGCCGCTCAACCCCCACCACCTCCACCACCATCACCACCACCACCACCACCTCACACACCCACCCTTCCTTTACCCTGACATACATCTGAGCAGGACCCTGCTGCACCTTTTGTCTTGGGCTGCCTCTTTGTTAGCAGCTGGTGGACAGAGGAGCAGCAGCCTGCAGCATGTCTACAGTGGGATGACAGCAGCACATCAGACATGCTTCTTTTTTTTTTTTTTTAAAGGACAAAATAAACTGAAGATGTATTTTTTTTTTATTTCATGGGTGAAATAATTATTTCATTGAACCTTTAGGGATTGGGTGGTTTATTATATTTAAAAAAAAAAGGTGCAGGGATTAAAACATATAAATATTTATTATAAGCATATCTTTAATGCATTTATTTATGGGGTGCTTTTATTGTCAAAAATCGAGCCATGTATGTGGTTGTGTCTGGTTGAGGTGTGAAGCAGCATCACCAGCACCAAAAGTGAACTGCAGATAACCTCATGACGTGGCACAGACATAGTATTCATGCCTATATAAAATTCACGGCGGCCGCATGTATCTGGTGGTGGTCTGAGCCGCTGATAAGGCTTTGCACACTATCTGCCTTCAGTCTAGATGAAGGATGAGCTTCTCAGGCATAGACGTTGTCCATCCTGCTGATGCTCCCTCGTCTCATCGTAAACTCTTGTGCACCCTCTGGTGCTTGCTAGTCTCCCAAACTTCTTTGTGTAGCCTGCTTTGCAGATTGTCTTCCTTGTCTGTGTGGTTGCTCATTATTCAGAGACAGACGGATCTCAGGTCATCTGCAGCTGCAGCAAAGGAGAAGCAGGAAAGATGGCGATCATCCATTAGACCGACCGGGCGCACGCATGAAATACGAGGACAACTTTTGGGAGGATCGCTTGAGGAGAAGATTGTACCAGTGAGTTTTTTCCCCCCGCTTCTTCGCACTATATTTCCAGTTTCGTCAAGGTTTTCGGCTGGGCTTTCAAGGTCTGCGAGAACGTCGCTATGGTAGATCATGGGATATAATGTGGAGAGCGCCTCGTGAATGACCTGGAAAGAGCGGATCTCCCCCCTTCACCGTTTCTCCTTTTAGTCCAGTTTGGTCCAGACGACTCGGTTGGAGAGAAAGTCGGGGTTTTTTTGTGTGTGTGTGTGTGTATATGTGTGTGTGTAGTCGGGTGGGCGCTCCGGCTGGCACCCAATGCAGCCAAAGTCAAGTGGGTCTTCTCGCTTCCCAGTTAATATCCTAACCAACCCGCTTCCTCGCTATGTCGCCTTTCGGTTTGTTGTCAAAGTGACACAAGGAAATGGACGCGGCGGTAGCTAAACGACGCTTCGGCTTGCAGTGTGTTTCGGGGGGCAGCTGAGTGGGGTTTTTGTTGTGCTGACATGTCTGGTCAGGAGGGGATCGCTGGCCCCGGCGGTGCGTCCCCCCTCTCCGGCCGTGCGTGTTGTTGCGCGTTAGCTTCATGGAGAAGCCATTGCACGGATTGCTCTCTCCTCTTCCCAAGCAGCCTCCATTAGCGACACAGTGGAGCTGGCATAGCCGCTGGTCCAGTCACACACACACTCTCTCCATGTCCAGCGTGAGGAGGCTGTGGTGTGTGCTTCCCCTCCCCTGCTCCTCTCTCTATTTTATTTTCATTTTTGATTATTATTTTTTTAATATCTGCTGGCGATCTGTACGAGTCTCCACAGTTGTTGGAGCTAAATAATGTGGATGGTCGTTGAAATGACTGCAAATGCATGTTGTATCTCTATATTCTTCTGCTTTTTTTTTTTTTTTTTTT